CCCTGAGAGACCATAGGACGACTCCAATTGATGTCATTGGAGGCTTATGGCTGGTGTAAATCAGGCCATTTATGTAAGTCCCTACACGTGAATTTAGAGTGAACTCCTGGTCATGTTGGGAGTTTTGTCGTTGAACTCAAGGGGACCAGATTCACCCTCAGTGTTTAACTTTTGGCTTCAAGCTGCATAAATCACAGCTTCAAGTCCTGCTACAGAGAGCGCTATTCTCTTAGGGTTCTGAAAGAGTCTAAGGAAACCGCCAGTGCATGTGGAGTTCTGAGATCTGGCATAAAAGCTGGGAATTTCCAAACACAGGTGCCCCAATTTTGCTCTCAGGGAAGCCTGTCTCAATCTTCAGTGACCCACTGAAGTCAAAAGGAGGGAGAAAAATCTAGCCAGTGTGCTACCCATTCTTGTTGTGAACCCTCTGGTAACACAGATACCCACTGCAGAGGCTTTGGCTGTACTACCTAATGGTAGCAAGCATGGCAGCGGGTATACAGGGACAGAAGGGCAGCATTGGGAGTTCTGGGGTGGCGGCAGTGTGTACACGGGCAGGCAGGCAGTCCTGGGGATTGTGGGGCAGGCAGGGGATGTACAGGGACAGGCAGGAAGCGCTGGAGGTTGTGGTGCGGGCAGGGGGTGCACAAGTCAGGTGGGAAGTACTGCGGGTTGTGGGAGCAGCGAGTAGAGAGTACCCGGACAAGTGGGCAATGCTGGGGGTTGTGGGGTAGGCAGGGGGGCTTACAAGGAGAGGGGGCAGTGCTGGGAGTTTTGGGGGTGGGACTGGGGTGTTCACAGACAGGCGGGCAGTGCTGTTGGGTTCTAGGGGCTGTGGATGGAGCATAAAGGGAGAGGTGGGCAGCGTTCAGGGTTGTGGGACAGGCAGGTGGTATACAGGGACAGGCGAGCAGCGCTGGGTGTTGTGGGGGCATGGAGTGGCATGTACATAGACAGGTGGGCAGCTCTGTTGAAATTAAATTTTTCTTTGTGACTGTTGGTTCAAAGCCACCACTGGGACATTTCCTGGCACCAAGTGTGTTTTGGGGGGTTTCAGGTTCTCTTTGCCCTGTCAAGCCATAGAACTGCAGTTTGGGTGTCACAAACTTTACTGAGTTTTGTTTCCAACAATTGTTGTTGTTGTTGTTGAATGTTATTTACATAACTTCAGGCATTTCACTAGTGGAAAGAACCATTGACCTTTGCTCCTCAGTTGCTTCAATCTCCCATCATACTCTGAACCCTGTCCGTACTCTATTTCCACATCCCAAGCCGCCCAAATTCCAACAGAACACTGGTCGCCGGTGTCTTCTCCATGCTCCCTGGTCACCCCTCGCTCCCACAGCCTCCGAGCTGTCCCAAGCTACCTACAGCTCTTCCTCTGTGGGGGGTGAGGTGCCTCCCATCATAGCTGCTCCCTTGGCTGGGGGTTAATCAGTGACTGTGTCTCATTGGTGAGAAATCTCATTGGTGGCAAATGCCAAGGCAGGCACCTATGTGGCTTCTCCTGTTACACCCATATACACCATGGTGCTTCAAGGATTGCTACACAGGAACAACTCACAAGCTGAGAAGTTTGCACACTATGTAATGAGAGGGGGCAACTGTGGGACAGGTTAGGGCCTCAATACAGATGCCACGTGAAGGATCCACTGGCCACTGTCTGAAATAGTGAGCCACTGCTACACAGACATTAAACCCAGGGTGCTCTGGGACCATTTGCTAGCCAGCTCTCAGTCATTCATGGCAAGTGTTATTATACCTTCATCCCTCAGTGCGGAGACTATATGGGCTCAAGTCATTATTTTTCTCACCTTAAACATTCCTCCATGCAGTGTGTCATGGGATCCCTCAGCCTCGTGAATTAACATGTAGTGTAGCATTTCCAAGACACCACAGTCACATGATAATTTCTCCCCACCGGGCTAAATTGAGCAGGGTCATGAATAGCAAAAATGCCTTTAGTATGATCAGGTACGATCTTGGAGCCAAAATGCCTCTAGCTGACTCCTGGGGACATGCTCATAGATTCAAAGGCTGGAAGAGACCATTGTGATCATCTAGTCTTTATAACACAGGCCTGAGAATTTCCCCAACATTATTTCTAGAGCAAGTCTTTTAGAGAAACATCCAACATTTATTTAAACATTCTCAGTGATGAAGAATGCATGAAGATCCTCGGTAAATTGTTCCAATGGTTAATTACTCTCACCATTTAAAAAATGTACGCCTTATCTCCAGTCAGAATTTCTTTAAGTTCAACTTCCAGCCAGTGGATCATGTTATGCTGAAAAGCCTATTATTACATATTGGTTCCCTGTGTAGGTACTTACACACTGTGAAGAAGTTAACGCCTAGATATCGTTGATAAAATAAATAGATTTAAATCAAAAGGCAGGATTTCTGATCATTTAATAATACTTGACAGGTTTCAGAGTAG